TATATAGTATCTGGAAAAGTCTCAAAAGTCTCTCTTCCTTTGTCTTTGCTGTAATATTACACAGAGCTTCCTGTATTTTTCAAAAAAGAGTTACAAAATGTGGAAGATGAGGAGGGAGGCAAAATCTCCCTGTGCTGTGAACTATCCAAGCTTGGAGTTTCAGTCCAGTGGAAGAAGAATGGTTTATCTTTGAAATCCAGCCAGAAGTATGAGATGAAGCAAGAAGGTTTACTCCTACAACTCAACGTTAAGGATCTCCGTCTTGAAGACAGCGGCAGCTACACTTGTCAGTCAGCAGGTTCAGAAACCACTGCAACTGTGTCAGTAAAAGGTATGTGAATTTTAATGTATGGTAATATTTTACAGTGTGTTTATAAGTAAAATAAACAGCCATTTCACCTTTTCAATCTTTGTCCATGTCCGCAGAGCTCCCACCAATCTTTAAGGATAATTTGAAAGATGTGGTCATTATGGAGGGAGGTTCAGCCTCTCTGTGCTGTGAAGTATCTAAACCAGGTGTACCAGTACAATGGAAGAAAAACAGGCTCCCACTGAGAGCGAACAGGAAGTATGAGATGAAGCAGGATGGCTGCTTCCTCCAACTTAACATCAAAGATCTCACACCTGAGGACAGTGGCAGCTATTCATGTCAAACAGGAGCTGTAGCAACCACGGCTAACGTGATAGTAAAAGGTGTGTATACATACTTTTTAAAAACTTTTAATTGTGAACAAATTGATCTGCTTTATAAGTGGGTAACAAGAATCATAATCTGAACTAAAACCATCTGGACAAGAGATTAACAATGCTCACATGATCCTTACAGTTATGTATGACAACTTGGACCTCACTAAATGCAAAGTTCCTGCAATTCGGTGAAGTACCGAACCATACAAGGCCTTTGGGAAGGGGATAAATCTGCAGTCACATACAAAGTAGACACCAACATGGAGTTTGTTCATTAGGTCCAGGAAGAGGCTGCTGCCTGAAATAATTGGGTAAAAATCCACAAGCTAAAATCTAAAATTTATGAGGGATTGTGCTTTTTGATTGATAGGTTGAATGTGACGTAAAGAACAGGGCCTCTTTTAATTAAAAAAATTAAATAGGATATTTTTTTGGACAGGGAGACGGGTTATTTCACTTAATTTAGATTTATGTTTTACTCAACATTGAAACATAAACATAACGAAAAATTAGACTGTTCAGTAAAATAAACTTGATAAAGATCTACTTACAAACAAATCTGTTAAAATGTAACATTTTTAACATTTTTTGATTCATGCCAATGACAAAACAAAACATTTATCTATTTGTATGGAAATGTCTGTTTCTATAAATTACACCCAGTTTCAAGTTAATTCCGAAAAATTCCTAAAACTCGTATGGAAAGTTTGAAATTGTAAATATTTCTAAATTTCCTAGTTTAATTCTAATGGCAAGTTTCAGCAAATTTTCTGAATATTTGCTGGTAAAATTTTATCCCATTGCAGCCCTAGTTACAAGTAATCTAAAATATTTTTACTCCTGCCATTTTCCCAGAGCTTCCTCCCTTCTTCAAGAAAGAATTAATAGGGCTGGAGGCTGAAGAAGGAGGTACAGCATCTTTGGTCTGTGAAGTGTCTAAACCTGGAGT